TAGACGTATATTCGTGTAAGTGGTCGCTTATTACAGTTGTATGTTGTTTCCGACCAAAAATAGATGCCCGCGGTCGTGTTACACGGGTTGTTGTTTAATACAGGTAACCTTTACGAAGATTATGTATAAATTATTTTGTGCCAGAAATTTTTGCCCGTTTTGACAGGTGCTTGTCGTCGCCTAAGCAGTTTTTACTGTATGTGTGTGTATATGTATATATTATATATATAATTATGTTTTTGTTTGTTGGAAAAAAGTATTATATTTGACTTTTTGATAAAATTATATAAAACACACTTATGTTTGGTTATAAAAAAACAAATATTAGTGTTAAAGAATCAGATACATTATAAAATTAACATCTTTAATTATAAATTTTAAAACGTTTTAATTGGAGTTTAAATATTTATCTTTGAAAATTATAATGTAATCATTTATTCTATTTTTAGACTCTAAGTGAATGAATATTTATTTATTCTATTTATGAATATTTCTTGATAAAGATTGATTTTATTAGGCTTCAATCTGACAGAAGACTTCACTGCAATCCAGTGATAATTTTTAAGAATTCTAGAGTATTACTAGTTTTTCAGCATATTTCTTCAAGGTTAATGGAATATAAATCACAGGCAAAATAAAGTTACCATTCCTCTGCATTGTGAAAATGTTAATAGAATTAAATAAGGCCAAAATTTACAAATAATTATTTGAGAAATTGACAACATGAAACTTTCTATTCAAGGTTTGAAAAGCTATTCTTCAATTACTCTTTTATACACTACTTGTATTAGGGTGGAATCAAAACAAAAATGAATTAACAAAATAGAATAAACAAACAGTTTTCAAATTTATAATAATTACAGATGTAACAACAATAAATTGCTTAAATTTTTCCTTGCTTACAGAAAATAATAATTTTTCAACATTGATGAATCTTATAATATAATTGAGATGGTTGTTAATATAATGTTGATAATGATAATAATAATAATAAGTGCAGAGCCCAAACAGTTAGGAGTTGAAAGTTGAAATTTGGTATACAGTTAGTGTATGTTCTCATGACATACCCTAAGAAGGGATTTTTTGAAATTCCTTCCTGTGGGGCAGAGGGAGAGGATTAAGGATTACCATGAAGAACTCAGCTTCTACTATACTATTTTAGATGCCTTCTTGCATTTATGTGGGAAATTTAACATATTTTTAGACCCTTCTAAAATTCTCAACAATATTTAGTGTTCCATCATATATAAAGTTGACACGGGGAGCGCATGCACATAAGCTTGCTTGATTCAAACTCTTTGTCTTAATGTTCAATTTTATATTTATGAATAATTCTGGAAGATCCTGCTTATTTTTTGAATTTAATAAACCTGAAGAAGAACTCAGAAAGAGTTGCGAAAACATTTATTATTCATCACTTAGTGGTACTGCGCACCGGTTAGCGGTTACAGCGAGTCTTATTTATCATTATATCAGTGTGGTAAACAGATATCTAAAAATTCTCTAATTAGTCTCGGAAGAAGGAGAGACCTAATTCTTGCACTCTGTGAAAACAGATAAAGATTGGCTATAATCTTAATCTTGCTATCGTTAGTTTTTGTCCGAACAACGCCAAGTTCATCTGCTAGTAATTTAATATTTGTTTCATAGATTTTCTCATTTTACATTTTCAAATATCAAAGCATTGAATTAATAACCATCATTTGGGAAGTTTATAATTGACTAATACTGTATTCTCAAAATCAATAAAACATAATTTGTATGGAATTTTGATACTGTATATCAGCTTATATTTTTGAATTTTGCTAACATATAAATAATCAAGGGACAAATTATTATTAAATTTTCATTAAAGAAATAAATTTTGCAAAGAAAACATACATGGGGGACCCAAAAATAACTGGATTTTTTTGTATAAAAACTTTATTAACTTTTTTACAAAATTTCTTCAAATAGTCACCTTCAAAGTACTCTCCATTAGATGTGATGCACTTGTGAAGTCTTTTTCCCCACTGTTTGAAGCATCTTTGGAACTCTTCAACCTTGATATTATTCAGTGCCCTTAGTGAAGCTGTTTTACCGCCTCCACATCATCAAAACGCTTCCCTTTTAGATTTTTCTTTGTTCTCAGAAACAGAAAAAAGTCGCACGGGGCTAGGTCTGGTGGATACAGAGGGTGGGGAACAACAGGCCAAATAGTGAGTCACTTGTAAGGCCGTGTGTGCGAGGGCATTGTCGTGATGAAGGAACCAGTCATCACGACAATGGATCGCCAAAGTTCCAGGTGTTTCCTTCACACATCCTCTCGCGGACATCTTAACAGTTTTTTGGCGGATTTTTCAACATTTCCATCGTTTCAAGATGTTGAAGGACACCCAGAACTTCACAGGCAGAACAAAATAACAGTAAGAGAAACACAACACCACACTCAAACGTAAACCTACAAACTGACACCGTTTGCAGAGCTGTTTTGTGAAGGTCTCTACTAACCCCATGTAACGGGAGAACTCTCTACTACATCTACAAATGGCAGCGCGCTCTCAGTTCGGTTTTTTTTTTTTGGGTGCCCCTTCATATTTCATTACATATCACATTAATTTGGTAAAAAATTATGATGATTCTTAATCAAAATATAAATAAATAATGAAAATGGAATGCTGTTGGTTTACTTAAACAAATTCTAAAACTTGCTAATACTTCAGCTTATCAAAGAATAAGTAGGTTGCATACTATTATTTACAAATTTTATTTGTTTTTTGATGTGCTATAAATACACCATAATCCATCAAATAATAACATTAAAACATAATTTTAATAAGTTTATGCTGCTTATTTAAGGAAACAGATTCTATTGTTTTGATTATTCATAGATTTAGTATATGTCTCTTTAATCTGAATTAGTAAAAACAGTAGACTTTCTCTCAGCTATAAGGTTAGGTACTCCTTTATTGTAAATCACAAATGAATTTTGGGCTTATATGAGCCCCTCTTCAGTGTAAATGCTACACATATAAAGCATAAAAAGAAAAAATTAATTAATTTACAAATTTTTCACACGAAGATGATTTTTACAGACAATAAATAAATCCTTTTACATACCTCAGAAGACAGAGTAACACTTTTCTAATTGTATGACTTTCACAATGATATTTTATACAATCCAAAAAAACACATGAATGTGTATTGAATGACACTATTACACAGGTACAATTAAAAACCTTAAAAACAGTAAATATACATTATTACCTTATATATTATTACAATAACAATAACGTGGTATCTTCTTACTTATAACTATGCCTGTAAGGTATTTAAAACCATATCGTTGTACTTTAAGACATCAGAATACCTGCAATTAAAATGACAGGTTTACAAAAATGGTTAGAACAATGATTTAACCATTTTTGTAAACCTGTCGTTTTAATTGCAGGTATTCTGATAACATCTTAAAAGTACACGATATGGTTTTAAATACCTTACAGGCATAGTTATAAGTAAGAAGATACCACGTTATTGTAATAATATATAAGGTATATTATTACAATGTATATTTACTGTTTTTAAGGTTTTTAATTGTACCTGTGTAATAGTGTCATTCAATACACATTCATGTGTTTTTTTGGATTGTATAAAATATCATTGTGAAAGTCATACAATTAGAAAAGTGTTACTCTGTCTTCTGAGGTATGTAAAAGGATTTATTTATTGTCTGTAAAAATCATCTTCGTGTGAAAAATTTGTAAATTAATTAATTTTTTCTTTTTATGCTTTATATGTGTAGCATTTACACTGAAGAGGGGCTCATATAAGCCCAAAATGCATTTGTGATTTACAATAAAGGAGTACCTAACCTTATAGCTGAGAGAAAGTCTACCGTTTTTACTACTTCGGATTAAAGGGACATATACTAAATCTACGTATTCATCAGCTACCACACCGGATATTGAGAAGATTGATTATTCATTTTAGAAATGAATTAAACTTGAGAATATAAACTATATTGTGGAAGATTTGTGATCAAATTAAATTAGTTTTATTTGATTGTTTGGAAATAAAAGAGCTCAAGATAATTTACATATTGATGTACGATACTAGGGTAATGGTATCTTGATACTCAATCCTTAATTTGTTCCAAAAAGGCTGTTTGAATGCTAATTTGTTTGGGTACCGAACAAATTTTTCTTGTAAGGAATAACGTAAATTAAATTAATCCATAAAAACCTATACACTAATAAATAGATGAAATAAATGCAAATCTATTTTCATTTTACCTGTAATGATGGCATATGTGGAAAGTGGTGAGGAGGATGAATAGGAAGAGAGATGTTAACTGATAACATGTCCTGTTTCAGGATGGGAATACCCATATGCAATACAGTGGCAAAGTATGCCTATTAATTTTAGAGTTTCATTTTCTCTTTATCAGACAAAATTATTCCTAGAGTTACCTATTTTTAAATTAGTTACTTTTTTTTTATCATAAAAATTTTTTATGGAAGACAAAGTTAAAGGTAATATTTGTTCTAGCAGGTTGTGTTTGTTCGGCTGAGTGCTGAGTAAACAGTAACAACCTATTTGTTTGAGTTGGGAGCAATTCTAGTATCTCAGTACTCAAACTGCTCCACTGAACCACAATAATAATGCATTTGAGCTACATTGATGTTTACACAGGATTGGAATTGCTTACATTCAGTGCACCAGGAATAAATTCAAAAATAATTATTATTTTCACAGTACTAGTCTACAAATCTTTTCAATTGGATCAAAGAAAATGATTACGTTTAAGTTTTGTGAGAAGATATTTCAAAATATATCTAATTTTCAGTAAATTTGTTACTGCAGTTATTTTAATGTATTGTATTGAGATTTGGGTTTGATATTGTAAATATTTATTTTAAAGAATTAATTTTTTTATAGTGAAACAGACTATTTAAAGAAATTGAAGTGTTTACTATTAAAGAAAGTAATAGATTAATATTTATTTTTATCACTTTTCTCAGTGGGCAATGAATTCAATTGACAGCAATCTGTTTGCTACAGCTAATCAATCGTACAGTGCACTGAGACACCAGCTCTGGGCTGCCGTAGACAGTGAAATTTGCCTGTCCGAATGTGACATATACAGGTCAGTGTAAATTAATCGAAAGCATCTTGCTTTTCACCGAAGAGTTATTTTAATGATAATTAAAATTTAAATTGCAGTTACAATCCTGATTTGGATTCAGATCCATATGGAGAAGATGGATGCTTGTGGTCTTTTAATTACTTTTTCTACAATAAAAAATTAAAACGAATAGTATTTTTTACTTGCAGAGCTGTTAGGTAAGAGAATATTTTTTATTATAATGAAATTTTATAAAATAAATGTCTGACTAAATTAATTCATTAATAGTTTGAATAGCATGGAATATTGTGGAACTGATTCTGGAATTGGACAAGAATTAAGTATGGATATGGATGAAGAAACAGACATGCCTCCTAAGTTAATAATTTTGAATTATAGTAAATTATTAATAATATAAAAATAATGTAATAATGTTTAATTATATTTAACAGGGAACAAATGGCATTAGTATACTGAAGAATTGCATTTGATTCTGATTGAAGCTCTCTCTCTACATATTGATTTTCAGCATTCATTGTATAGTATCATAATATCATTGTATAGAGTATTTCAATCTGTTTTTAAACTTTATTTTCTTAGAAAAAAAGTTTAATATTAGTTTCTACCAAAAAAAATACTATTTCACATTTTAATCAAAAGACATTTTAAAATTTTAAGCATTAAAAATGCCAAAATGTATTAAATTTATTTTTAATCAAACTTTAGTAATTAGATTTTTTGTTAATAGTTATTTAAAATTGAAAAAACAGTCATATTATTGCATATCTATGTATACATATACACTAATTGTATAGAACAATGTTTCTAAACCTTTGTCCGAGACCAGCAAACTTTTGTAAATTTTTACTTTAGATATTGCATGACTAGCCCAATAACAATGATATAATTTATCTTCAAGAAAAATATACTGAAATTAGATTGCTTTAGATTTATCTTTCAAATAAAGTGGAAATGATAATTTCAGTTTTATGCTGGTCCTTTGCTTAGTAGTTCAGAAACACTGATATAGAGAATTAGATTTAAAAGATTTTTCATAAAATGAAAAATAAATTAACACTACTTAAGAATTTTAATTTTAAATAATCTCAGAAAACTAACTAACTCTATGCAATTTATTTAACATACTAATCTATACTCTAAAATGTTAGGTTTGATTTCATATTACTATACATTTAAAAATTTATCATAAACATTCAAATATTTATTCATAGTGTAAAAATCATTTATCTGATACATAGAAATATTATTTGTAATGGATTGTTTATATGTTTTAATATATTTATATAATAATCAGCAGAATTTATTAGAAGAATATAATAAAATACAAATTTTCTGCTTTTGTTTCAAGCTTTTTTTTCCATCGTGAAAATAATGTTTATAATTATCAAATCTGCAATTTAGTCAGCCTTCCGAGGCATCATTGATCTCACCAAACTGCACCAGTTGTGTCGAACACTCCTCCTTCGAATGTTTAAAATCTCAGTAAGACAAACCAGTTTGGAGACATTTTAATTAGTGCCTATTTTAACAATCATTATCCTCACCTATTCAATATCCATGAATTTTATATATTGCTTCTCTATGTTGTACAATTTGCTGTAAGCTGTTAACATGAACAGAGTACAAAATATCATTGATGTCTTAGATTGTTGTATTCCATCTGTATTTTCTGTTTTAAATAATAGTTTTAATTGTGGAAAATAACACCTTTGTACGTTAATGTATCTATTTTGACTTGTTGATTCTTAAATAAATTACACAATTATAATTCAATAATTTTTGTAAGTGAATTTAATTCTTGATTCTTTTATATATAGATTTTACAGCGAATCATTTTATTCTATTTATTTATCAACATGAAAAAGATGATCTTCATGATGTTGCTAAGAATTGAATTTCTTTTTTCTTTTCAAAAGGAATGTATAAATTCAATTTTAAAACAAGTCAGTTTTAAAAATTAACACTATTTTCCAACAAAACTTTATACAACACAACAACCTTTTTTATATATATATATATATATAATATATATGTATAATATTTGTAACCAATCATATACATAATATGAAACTACAGTGTTTTTTCAGCTAAACTTCTATTTAATTCTATGTACTTGAGTGTTTACTTTATTGTAATAAATAGAGTGCAAACCAAATATTTTGCTATTTGATTTTTTTTCTTTTAAGATTAAGTAGCATTTCTGCAAATCAGAGTCAAACATTTGCTATTTTTTCAAATTTTAAAGCGGATGGTGACTACAGAAGCTCATGTTATGGAAAGTGAATCAATGCAATAAATCACATAGTAAAAAATTATTTAAATAAATTGTACCATTGAAAACAAACATGATGATATGGGAATGTTCCCATCTAAATTATCACACGTGATTTGGACGTCTCGAACTGAGCTGTCACCGGTAACCGGGATGCCTGCCGTTGAGTTTGCCAATAAACTGGACGACATATCTTTACTTTTTTCCTGAACAATAGTCGGTTGGAGTTATCGATACATCATTATATCGGGGCTTTGATACATGCACATGTAAGCGTCACACAATAGACGCCTAGCTATTTCTGGGAGCACCTTATCATCTTTTGTCAATAAAAGAAAATTCATTCCCTCTTCCGAGAGCCACCACTGTAGATCTGGGAATGGGATGACTTCTGGGATATTATAACCGTTCTGTTCGCCTGAATCATCAACATAAAAATGAATTTTAAAAATTACATCTATAGTAATATTATGTATAAAATGTACTTGAGTTTTACCTTTCCTGTCGGCCATACTATCAAAAAAGCACCAGGGAGCATCCGGTCCACTGCCACATTTAACAAAACAAACATAATGACTTGTTTCTATACACACTACAGCAAATAACTCCATGTACACTCTCGGAACGGGCATGTGATCTTTCAACATTTTGAATTCTGGCGGGATTTTCAATTTAGTACTTTTATGCCTCAAACGCTTTTTATGACTGTGGCTCTGTTTGGAGAACCATATGTTATTTGGATAAAATATAAGATGAATTAAAGATTTTAGAAAAATATTCTTACTTTGTCCATGCACTTTTGACAGAATGCAATCGTATCTAGCCCGTCGCCAAAATGACCAAAACATTCTTTACATTCGCATTCTGCAACTTGTCCGCACACCGTACATTGTCTAGGAGCTAATATTTTAATATTATCAACTAATAGAAAGTGAAAATTTTTTCCCCAAATTAATATCTTATTAATAAACAAAACTTACAATCTTCTAAAACGTCCGTAATATCTAAATAAAGGCTTGGAATTATCCTAGGATACATTTTAAACTGTTTTCCAAACCTCGGCATTTGTATGAGAAGGCAAGGTGGTACCTATTTAAAAACAAGTAATATGCTTATTTATTTTTAATTTTCTTTAAATTATTATAAACAGTGTATAAAACTTACTTCTTGTAGTTTAATATCTGAAGCAAGAAAAGATTGGTCAAATAGATGCTGAACAGTTGGCAACAATAATTTATCATCTTTTTCTACAAAAAGTTGATAGAAATAAGACTCTTGACCTGAACTAAAAAAGAAAAAAAAAAATTAAATTATCAACTTATACACTTACTTAAATTAAGACAGATCATAAATATTTGAGTTTTTAACTACCTTAATTTTAAGAATGGATCAGCCTTAAGAATCTGGTTTAGGAGTGAATTAAGAAATTCTTCAGGATCTAATAAAATAAAATCAATTTTAGTATAAAACTTCTAAAACAAGATTTTTAAAAATAATGTTAATATTTACTATTTTATGTCAACTTTTTAAAATTAACCTTCTAAATTCATTAACTGAATTTTTAAAATGGCTTAAAATTAGAAAAATATGTTTTCTTTGTATAATTTTTGATGCTACTACTGTAATTATTATCACATTTATAAATAAATTGCAATTGCAAAATATATACATGGTTATCGATTTACTTCATTTTTTTATAAATAATATGTACTGTACATGTTTATCAACTGCAAATATCTAAAAATGTTCAGTTCATAAATTAACAGATGTATAATGTTTTCAATTTTGTTTTTTCAGTTGCAAATTAAAAACAACACTTATTTTGTAGATAAATAGCCACATTAGAGAAATTATAATGTGTTGCACAAACAGTACAATCTTGGTAATCTGCCATTTGCTAGTTCCATATATCCAGTAATCCAATACTATGAGGCATGTCCGGAAAGTAAGTACCGTTTCATTTTACTGCCACTGCAGCAGTAGTATCTCAGTTCAGCGCCTGCGCACACGTGTCTCTGGTTGATTGTCAGTCCAGTGACACCATTAAAGTACGTGTTAGTGAGCGTTCAAAATGTCTAAGATGATTGCCAATCCCATTGACCGTGAAGTGCGTTCTGTAATACAGTTTTTGAACGCAAAGAATGTTAAGCCAGTTGAAATTCATCGTCAACTTGTAGAGATTTATGGTGAAAATGTAATGAGTGATGGAATGGTGAGAAAGTGGGTTCGACAATTCAATGCTAGACGCACCAATGTTCATGATGAAGCATGGAGTGACCAGCCTTCTGTTGTCAATGATGGTTTGGTTGCAAAAGTGAATGAGAAAATTCTTGAAAACAGACGGTTCACAATAAGATTGCTTTGTGATGAGTTTCCACAAATTTCAAAAACTGTTGCATGAGATTGTCACAAATCAATGTTCAGCAGTGGCTGTCTTCACTGGTGGCATCTTTCTTTGAAGAAGGTATAGAGAAGTTGGTTTCCCGGTATGACAAATGTCTGAACAATGGTGGTAACTATGTAGAAAAATAGTTTCCAACATGCTCTTTCATGTAAAAATAAATTTTGTTTTGAAATTAAGATTTTTTATGTGAGTTTTTCCAAAACAGTACTTACTTTCCGGACACACCTCGTATTTGACCCTTGGATATTCTAGCAGTGTTGTCAAGTTGTAGCCAAGCTTTCACTAGTTCAAACTCCAGTTTTCACTAAATTTGAACATCTTGCTGTTAATATTGTGCCCAGGCTCAGACTTGATAGCTGAAGCTTGATATCGTATTCTGTACAATGTCAGGTGTGGAATCAACTTGATGATTTGTTAATAGTTGCTGTCAAATTCATTTGTGCGCTAAAATATTTCCATTATGTCAATTGTATTCATATTTAATCACATTTTCATTGTGTTTAAATCATTAATTCATCAACATGTATGAACTTCCATTAAACTGACAATCTCCTTAATTTGGCATTACCAAGATTGTACTGTATATTTATATAGACAGAATACTCTAAGTTGAAATGTATGTCCAATTCGTTAAAGTATTTTTGTACAAATTGCATTTACATTTTATATATCATTTTTAAGCTTACAAGTTAGTTGATGTAGATGAGTCCAACTGCATCTATTTTGTTATTTATTTTCATTTAAAGTAATATGCAAAAATGTGCCCAATTTCACTCTTCTATTGCTGCTCCTCCCTGCCAGGGCACACAATAGCTAGGCTATAGTCAAGTGGACCACAGAAAAATTTTAGCATGCTTAGTAAGCATACAATTTGGCAGATTTTTTTTGTAAATATTGGTAAAATATATATAAATATAAATATGGTTAAGTCTTATGAAGTATAAGTTACCTCCGATTTAGGAAAAGCAAATGTTTTGGAACAACATACTGTAGCATTGTTAATTATTGTATGTCAAAAATGGCTAACAAAGCACATCAAAGAAAAGCAGTTCTTCGAAAACAAATTCTTTCGAAGAACCTTTATATTTTTTTTTGTTTTAACATATTGTAATGTATTTTTAATTTTATGTTATTAATGAAAAGACTATTGTAAAATTTTAGTCAGGAAACAGACATTTCTTTTGAATAAAATGGTGCCTAAGTGAAGAACTCTTACAGATAGATGTAGAATAAACAAAATCTGCATTCAATTATGTCGTCGACAAGTATTCATTTCCATGTGCAAATCAATTATGAAGGTATTTACAGGATTATTCAAATATTTTTGGAGAAAAGCTTAACATAATGAATGGACATACGAACACATGTTTGTTAATATAAGGGTAAATGACGTCATCACTAGTTAGTTGGTCATTCTCTAATCCACTCTCTAAGATCAGTGAGTCTGGTACAACTGGTATATCATTGAACAACTCATCTTAGCAGTGAAACTCATAAGCATCTCCAAACAGATCCTTACTCTTTATTAGTATTGACCAGGCCATACTCGAATCTGCATCCATCTATATAGAATACACTAAGGTGATATCTATTTTTAAGTCATTAAAGTATTAATGTTGTATATTCAGAAATTTTATAAGTTTTATATAAATAAATTTATTTGTTTCTCTTATTTTCTCTATTTGTAATTTAGTAATTTTTCACAGCAAATATTTTGCTAGGTACAACTATGCTGGCTAATGTAATGAATAAAAGTGCACTTAACTAAATAAATTAATTAAATATCCAAGTTTTATAGCTGTGGGAATGCCTCTCTAAATAACAAATTAAAAATTACTGGGTAGAAGTAAAATATTAAACTTGCTATATTTAAAATTATTATTTATATACACTATTTTACAGAAAAATCATGCTTACCCTTTTCTTCAGTTGTCAAACCACTTACAGAGCTCAATTTATCTAGTAACTTCCTTAACTTCATTACTCTATCTGCACGCACATAAAAGTTTCTAATACAATAAATATTTTCATAAATTTATGGAAAATAATTATCTTTGATAATAGTAAATATGAAAATTAGTAATTTGTTTCACTTCCAAAAATGAAGAAAACTACTTACGCTCTTAAAGGGTTAACGATTTCTTCTTTCAAGACACATTGGACTTCGTCGTACTCGACAATATCATCTTTGTTTCGGGGTCTATGCAATAACGAATCGAACACACTAGTACAAGAAAACATTGCAAATAATGTTGCATCTAAGTAACAGGAATTATGATGCCCCTGGATGCCTTTACTTTTACCATATAATTGCTTTAAATCATCAGGATTACAAAGTGGCGGAACATCACCACTTACTGAAGGGCAATCTATACTTCCAAAAACTAGAAATACAAAATATTAATTTGTTTTTGAAATTTAAAATACACTTATGTTTAAAATTTTCTTACCAGCACTTTTACGTCTTTCTGTATCAAGAAAGCGGCCATCTTTTCGACACTGGTTTAGATGAACGAAAAAGGCCTTTCGTGGAGGGCAGGTAAAATACCTTTTTCCACCAAATGTTCCATCCGTACAGCAGGAACTTTCCTCTTCCTAAAATTAAAAAAAAAAAAAAAAAAATTACAAAAGTTTCAAGAGTTATTTTCAAAAATTCAACTCGAGTGAATTTTATTAATTTACCATTTCTATACCAGCAACTAATTTATTATTATTCTGCCCTTCTCCAATTCTTCCTATCCATTTAATAACTCCATAACAAGGAACACCATTAATGGCAACTTCTACTACTGACCCCACTTCTAAATCGGACGAATATTCCAACTTTCCAGAATTGGTTTCGTTAGACGACTTAATACCTTTTTTCACTTGATGAGAAGCATTGATTATGTTCGAACAGCTATTTGTATCATCCACTCTAGTTATTCCAATCTTGGGTGTAGATTTACCTAAGATAATTTGCTTTATTTAGATTATTTAAATCATAAAATGATTACAAAAAATGAACTATAATATAAATTCTTACTCTTTTCACTTAACATTTCATACAATGGATTAACTGATGGAGTAGAATTGGATATATTGTTTTCGTTTAGAAGTATATTTGAATAGTTAGGCAACGATTCCGACGAAGGTGGGGTTGATGGTAACAGAGAGTCATATGAAATGAGATGACTTATCTCCGAAATGTCATTTGGCACCGACAGTCCTTTCCTCACTGCTCCGGGACTTCCCGCCGATAAACATGAGCCGCATTTTGAAATGACCGGCAAACTATTTTCCTCACCTGAATTAACATAATTTTAGATAAGAATTTAATAACACAACTGTTTGATTATCCTTTCAATCAAAATTATAATAAATCATCTAATTAAAAAACTTTTAAAAGCATTGTCAGCTTAATAGAACAACAAAATATATTATATAAATTCAACAAACAAATATATAATTTATAAAATACTAAATTATATACCTAATCCATATTTCTCTACACGTTCATTTGCTTGAGATTCAGAAATTTTTTTCTTTCTCCTCGGCCTGGGCGGTGTGCCAGATGTTTCTACCAAAATAATCAAGGTTAGGACTTGTGGTTATATTAATAATTTTTATTTTGACATAAAAAAATAAATTACAATATCCATCATAAGTTCAAATTCAATGCAAAAACCAATTTTAAAATTGATTCTATTATAAGATAAGGAGAAAGGAGAAAAGTCAAAACATTTTTTCATCAATTGTTAAGTTAGAAAATATCCTAATAAAAAAATAAAAATGTGAATTCTTTTTCTTTAACTTTTAATTTACTGTATTATTCTTATTTCTAGTGATTTATTTTTCTTACTAAATAAAACTTTTTAACTTTACTTATTTTGTAAAACTATCTTTAAAGGCAAAAATTATTTAAATTTTCAATAATGACTTGATAGTCTATTAAACTTTCAAAAGTCAATTAAAATATCAATACTTTTCTTAGTTTTATCAATTACAAACCTTGTAACTTATCTCCTAAAAAGTCATCGGCTTTCATCAGTCCAATTATAGGTACCAAAGACGCATGATTCAACTTGGCTTCAAATAGCTGATAATCATTGTACTTTCCAGTTCCCGTACCTACCGGATTATCCTAGATAATAAATTTGATTCCACAATCAACACAAACAGGATTGAATTTTATCAAGTTTTTGTTTTCATTTCTTTTGTGTTGTTTGCCATGAACAAAATTACTTGTTTAATAATTGGAGAACCTTCCAGATATTCTGGTGACTTACAAATTCAACTCCCACCATCCAGTCGGAACCCACGTCCGGCAATTTACCCAACCATCTGACCTCTCCGTACTCGGGTCCCGTGTCGCTTATCCAGACCACCCTGTCTCCGAACTTCAGAGGCGGAGGCGGCGTCCCCGCGGAACAGACAGCCTCGAGAGGGATGGGTTGAGGTTTTGAAGCGGTTCCCGAAGCTCCCGAATTAGGCGAACCTGTTTCGGGATAAATTCCTGATTAATTTTTATTACTTAACAACCACTTATTCTTCCACCTTTCTTATAAATAATTTAGCATGCTACTTAGTACAGTAGGCTCAAACTTTCAGGAAGCAAAAAACAAAAATTCCACAGACCATAGCAGCTTAATGCCTATGGAAAAAAAAAGAATCATAATCGACACCTGCACACCGCACTTATCTATCTCAATCAATCATATAAAATCGGTGGGATTAAAATACACTTAAAGTTGCAAGAACGACTGAAAACCTAAGGAAAAAAAAACGAAAAAAACCCGTTCACGCACTGATAATCATAAAACCAAAGTTCTGTATTGTGGTTCAGTGACCCACGACGCTTAAAAATACTTTTAAAAACGAATAAAAACAAGCACCTTGGCTGTATACTAACACTAGGCATTAAAGGAGAATCGCCAGTTATCGAGCGACAGTTAACGCAATGACGACGATAAGCAAAATGCTACTCACATGGCAAGTACACTTCGGATAGAGGATATCCGTATTTCTTCTTAACGCATATGCAGTCCATGAAGTTGTCATCAAGTGTCAAAGTACATGGTCCGGCTGTCACTATGCGACATACCGTTGGACGTTGACTCGACTGGGACTCTTAACTATATGCGCTCTACAACCGTTGTGCGGCGAACGAAGTAACGGGCATCGGGCCAAGCGTCAAAACTCGTACATAAAAGAAGCACCGGATGGGATGTGACGTCTACTTCGAATATATATCGTATATAAATACATTTGCCGATTTAAAATGGCCGAAAGAGGGGGTGGAAAAACCCGTCTGGTGCAAAAACTATCGACCTGTGTCGCAATGAGTGCCACATCGGGAACGAACCCTTTCCTTCGCTATAAAACCAGTAGATTTCGAAGTAAGCAAAATTCGAATTTAGTAGAAAGATGAGAGCCGAATTAAACATTTTAAAAAACGTATACGGAATAAATGAGTGGAACGACAACTGATAAAAATACCAACGATTGATTTCCTATTCTTCTCTGCCAACACGGTACAAGAGTGGGAGAAAAAGGAACGGAAAGGTTAAAGAAAAAACGACTAGATGCGATCTTGTTAGAGATTTTCCATCGTGCGCCGATTGCCATTTAGTTTTCTAAAAATAAAGAACTTGAATGAGGTACAACTCGCTGAATAAAAGATAAACGAAAGTCACTTCTCCCTTACATAAAACGCTAACGTTTTCGCTTATCTTCTCCATTTTTTAAAAATATAATCTTTCATAAATCCGTTTATATTAACAAACGGTTAAATATCGGAGCATTTTTTAAAATAATCTCTGAATCACACGACCGAAACGGCTTTTAAAAATAGAAAACCAAACAGAACAGAAAGAGTATTTTTCTGTTTCTCTTTTTAAAACCTATTCCTGTACGGTTAACTCGGATAATTGTTTTAATTTCTATTTAGTCACGCTTATTAGATCATCGTTAAAAAGAGTAGATTGACTTATAATTAATTAATCAATCCTTTTTATTGATATTTAAGCTGTATGCCACTCCTGAAAGAATCTCGCGATGGCCCTTTCAAAATCCAATAAGAGGAGGGGATTGCGCCGGAATCACGGAACCCGTAAAATGCTGACTTACTCTAAACAAGAAAATCGTGACTGACATTACACAAACTGATGAATCGTGTCACGAACTACTTTCGCTGTTTAACTTTGGGAGAACACAAAGGAGGATACGCGATCGATATTCAGATGAGATAGTTTCATTGAAGTTACTTTCGTATACGCTTTTTGAAACTATCTTATCCATCCTCCTTGTGTCTAAAATAGCTCAAGGTATAACTTTAACAGAGGAAAAATCGACACTGCATGACAAAATAATAATAATTACTCAATATGGCAACTACAAAACTTTCGTCCTCGTTCGTTTCGAAACGAATGACTCGAACTACTGGTTAAAGTGTTTACGTGTCACGATTTTCTAATACAACCCCGGGTTATGATTCCTAAATATTTTTATTTTAAAATATCCTTATATACAGATTTAGTACACGGCACGTGCTTCGAAAGGCTGATAAGAAAGGAAAAAAGAGAGAGAGAGAGAGAAAATCCATCTCGCTAATCCGAGTCAAATATTAAGAAGCCGAAGAAAGGCGGAGTAATAACCAACAAAATCATGTGTGAAAGAGGTTTTCCATCTTCCGGAGAGATTGAACGTACTGAAAATAACTTCTGATCCTGTACCGAAGTCAAAGGAATTATTGAAAGTATCGAAACTTCTTCCATTATCACTTCGACTATAATAAAAAAAAAAGAGGAGGGAAGGGAGAGTAATATTCTATTGCAATAGCTTAAAAATGAAGTTTAAACTATCGATTTTTAGAAAGTTTTACATGCGAAATGACAAAGGTCGGTTCGAAAAAGTGTCACATTATTATACGAGATGTCGTCCCACTTGCATCTCGATTGTAACAATGCCGAACTATAGAAAGTAGGAATTGTCTCAGACATTCGTCGCCATTCCAAAATTTATCGATTCTAAGCATCAGACACCATTGACCTTGACGTGTAGACATGCTTTCCGTTCTTTCGACTTTTTTACTACATAAAAAAATTATATTAATTAATAATATATATATATATATATATACGGGTACTATGACTGTAGCAACAAACAAATTTTCTTTCTCCATCCTTCAATTGTAACTTGACTAAGAAGAAGAACGTATATAATTTTCCATTACCAAATACGAAACATGTCAAATTTGATTCGAATTTCAATTTCGTGTTATAATGTTACATGACGTGGTATTAGATTAAAAGTGTTTTAAAGTCTTGAATCAGTCTACAATCTTCAAAACGCAATAGAACACGATTTTTACATGCTCTACTTTCGCATACATTTAGGCCTATATATATTTAAAGTGATCAAACAAAAAACTGCGTGCAGTTTTCTTTTTTTTTATAAAAAAAAATAGACAGAATTGTCATAAATTTAAAAATTCCCAGAAAGTTTATAACCAGCCAAAATAGGTTATTAAAAAAGTCCCTTTAACCGTGACCCAGTTCTAATCCAGATTATAAACCCCCTTCCGCAATCGCGAGGGTCAACGAATGGTCACGTGTCGACAACGAAAGCACGCAAACGATAAATAAGAAAAAGAATAATAAAAATCCACGATGCAGTAGTATGAATAACGATTCGAAGAGAGCAATACTCACGGAATATCAATCCTAATGGCATGGCATGGCATGAGCGCGGTTACTCGAAAACAGGTAAACTTTGACGACGGACAAAACTAGCTTCCGCGACTGTCACGTGACCGCAGCTATCCCTTTAAACGGTACGAACTAAATGAAAACCAGATGTATCAAGCAGAGATTGTTGCCGGAGAGAATTACGTAAGGTAATTTCGTCACAAGTAAGGTGGAGTCTTACGGCAGACCAAGGTAAAATCAACCTCTTGTCATGCATGTAATGAAAGACACGAATAATAAATAGCCTTATATAGTAAGAATAAGTTTTAAATTCGTGTTAAAATCTTTACATTTGAACAATCGATATATATTAACACGTTAAAGACAAATTAAAATGGGAAAAATATATATATATATTTAAAATATACTAAATAATTTTCATAATTGGGATTTTTTGTGTTAAACGTTCGTATTATATATACTGTTTTTCAAAATTTGAATAATAATAATAATAATAATTTAGGATTAAAATGAAATATTTATATTATACTAAACAGATTTTAAAATAGCTGACAATGTTTTGAAATATGATAAATGAGTTGTGATTCGTGGATTTTAAAAATCGAAATCGACATCCGTTCAGCTATTTGCTAATTTAAAAATTTGAATTAACGGCCATTTAAAAAAAAATTTTTAGCCGTTATTTTATTTATTTCTTTTCTTAAATCTTTCCTTCGAATGAAACAAAGCGTAAATTAAACAATTTTCTTTTAACAATTAAAATGAATTAGGTGTTCACCTAAAGTTTCGCAAGGATAAAATAAAACAATATAAGATCATTCTTCCTTTCCCGAGAAGGAAATGCACGGGTTTAACAAAAGTTTATTTATTTTTTTTTAGTTTTAATACAATTGATAAAATAATAAATATTTCATAAGAGACATTTGTAAAGTTATAATTAACGGGTGAAATGACGCATAAACTAATATTAATTATTTGAACACACACATACACACACAAAAACTTTTTTGAAATTACACAAAAAATAAAATATAAAAAGCATTTAAGTAAATAATACTAATTCATTTTAATTCATAAGTTACTCATGAAAAATATTTAACTGAATTTTATAAAATGTCAAGAGGTGCAAAATACTCGTAATTTCAAAATCTTAACAGGTCGCAGTGCGACAAGAAACTACAATGTATATTTTAAATCGACAGTACTCCAAAATTCTATCCATTATGTTTTCATACTGTGAAAAGCTAAGCTGTGACTTAAATTATAAAGAAACGTTAAAAAGACGCATCTATCCCACATGAGAAACGACAGTTTGTGTTCATTGATATCTGTCAAACTTACAAAATGGCGACAGCGACAGCCGGTATGATCATGTGACTTGGACGTTTGCCAGATAGTAGACCACATTTTAAACTAAGGATCTGGACGAAATGAGAATAATTCGCCTGGTTATATTTAAAACCCGGCAATAAAATTCGAAAAAAAAAAGAAATTATATGTATGTATATAATTTAGCAATTAGACCAAAACTAAGTACAAAAATTAAATGCACTATTTACTATAAATTAAGGATTTTTGATTCATAGAATGATTCAAAAAAATTCGACGACGGGACGTGATAAATGAACATGTTGCTAAAGAAGAAGAAAAAAAGACTAAATGACAGATCTTGAGGGGGGAAATGGCATCATTTAAAAAACGAAGCGTGATTATTTTCTTAATTATTAATTTAATATGCAAATAGAAAAAATTCGCAATTAATAGAAAGCGACTTCGAAAAATCGTGTTACTATTTACGAGAATACGTTCACCTTTAGACGTATCCGAAAATAGCATTTGCAGAACACAAATGTGTACAGATACTTACAGGTGTTACACCAGAACTTGAGCATGCAAGGTATATATGATAATTTATGGGAAGATGTAACTATCGTAGCTCTGTTGGACCACATAAAAATTATCGTTAGGGAGTATTTCCTCAAAATCAGGAATATTTTACTTTACCGATTGCCTAGATGTTCAGGACATTGCTGGGCATGCTGTGAGGTCACAGAATATTGATTAATGTTCAGTTTCCCGCCACAGCTAAAGACTGGCGCTCTGTCCATCGTAGAGTACTAAGACATAGGCTTATTGTTATCAATAAGTATATTAATAAATAAATTTTAAATTAAAAATCTTAAATATTCTCATTTTATTCATAAAAATGTATCGAGTTCGATGAAATTTTCACAAAAAATAAATGGATTGAAAGAAAACGTAAAACCAAATTCATAAAACGCACTTTATATTATCAGGGGAAATAATTGTATTTTCCTGATTTAATGCAGATTTTTTTCCCAATAAAATATCGTTAATTAATCATTAATTTAGTAAAATATTTTTAAATTAAAATTTTTAACAGCAAAATATTTAAAAAAAAAACTGAATTTTGAATATTTTCAAATATAAAATATTTCAATTTTGTAAAAATTAATATGATATGTAATAAATAATATAACTGGTACCTAATATAATGAATCAATTGATCAAATAGCATTTCTACTTATTGCCTAGAGGTCCAAAATCTTTTCTATTCCTCATTGATTGATAACATAATAGTAGCTATTCAAAATGGACATTCAATTAGTTCAATAAAATATAAGCTTTTTGCAGCATTAAATAATTAAAAAATAATGAAAAAAGCTACAAATATTGAAACAGGTAATACATTGTATACATTTAAGCAAATATTTAAGTCTAATATTTTATCAAAGATATCAATAATAGAATAACAACATACTTACATATTAAAGAAACTTTAAAATGCATGTATAATGGATGAAATTTAGCTTACAGGACATACCAGTTTTCAATTGTTTTTAATTTGAAACTTCTTTTGAAATTGTTTTAAAAATTTAAAAATATAAAAAATAAAATTATTTATATATTTATTCCTTATAATTCATTACAATATAAAAATGCTTTTATAAAATATTATGATAGTTTTCCATTTAATCTTTATATTGACACACCCTTAGGTAAAAATTTATAACAAATGAAATATCATAAACCTAAATATGTAGCATATAAATACATAATTTATATCAGGTACCACTTCAGATTTACGAAATAAATAATGAATCAGGAATAAAAACTATTCATTCACTTTTAGTACTTAAATTCTCTAAATTATTTTAAAGATTCGTAATTGAATATATTGAAAGCTCTTTTCTTTTAAATTCTTTACTTTGAGAATTAGTACCTCTGAAGATGGACTTTAGTGGTCTGAAAGTGCTCATAATGTATATTATGCTAAACATTACTCCAATAAAACAGTTTTTTAAATTAATTTATTTGTAAAACTTAAAAAAAAAGTGTGATAGGAAATTCAAATGAAGAAGTTGATTTCATTAGATCAAGAAAGGAAAAATGTATGATTTTATTATAAACTTGAGTGTTATCTGAAATAAAATTTATATTCCTATATAAAAGGTATAAATTTTATATGTTTACATAATAAAATTTGATGTTATTTGTTATTTTTAATTTATAGTTTTTGCTTACAAAATAGCAACAAAATCGAAAGAAATTTTAATCATTTTATATTAATTTTATCTAAATGCAATTACCTCATCAGTACTTAAGATGGGTGTTCTCATTTAAAAAAAAAAAAACCTAATTCTACAATATATATATAGGCTATATAATGAAGAATTATATATATATAACTTAGGAGTGTTCATTTGCAGAAATTAGATTAAAAGAAAATTTAAATGAAAACTATTTCTTATTTATTCTACAATACTTTAAGATGTTTTGATGATAATAAATTTGAAAAGAAAATTATTTATAAATGTATTAATTTTTAAAGAAATATTTAATATTTATTTGCAATCATACATTAAAAAAATATATATAAAAACTTGGATATTTGCAAAACAATTTGTACAGTTATAAAAGATTGAAAGAGAGTCAAAAGTATCTGATGCATTTCTATTCAATAAAAGTTCATTGCCCTAGGTATTTCCTAAAATAATCAGCTAGCATCACAGCTGTTGCATTAAACTCATTTTGAATAATAGAAAATACAAACAAAAATTAACACTAAATTTTTAGTAGAAAATGAACTAGTTAGATTTATTTCAGATTTTCCAACAAATATACAGTTTCCTGAAACATAAATAAATATTAAGATATTTTTGAATGCTTATTTTGTTTATAATATAAATATCTAATTGAATTTTCCTAATATCAAGTGGAAAAATCAGTTTTTATATTGTAAAATAAAATAGCAATAACCGAGTATTTAAAAATAAAAAATTCAAACAATTTTTGTATTATTATTTTAGAATTAGTAAATTTATTTTATATTAGTTATCTGATATTTACACTTCAATAAGTTTCTTATAACTTATTAATATTCTTTTTTAAAATTTTTATTAATAAAATGCAAAACAGAAATGATATTATATTCATTTTAAATAAATTTATTGTCACTTTACATTTAACAATTAATCTTTAAGCTTAATTTTCATTTTATAATTTAAAAAATAAGCTTTGTTTTTACTTATTTTTTTAGTGATGATAATTAATTACTTTTACAAAAATTAAGTTTATAAAAATAAAACAATTCTCTATCTTTAATTTAAAAGTTTAATTTTATTGAAGAATTTTATTATTTCTATTAAAGAATTTAAAAAAAGAAAAAAGGACAAATTGATATAGTTACTAAATGCTTTATAAGAAAAATTGTTTAAATAATCAAGATTATAAATAAATTATTTTCAGTTTATAAAGCATTAAAATTATTTTTATAAAACTGAATATAATTTCATTCAAATTTTCTACACATTCTCATGAATTAATTATTATTTAAGCAGGAATAATTATATCTGTCGTCTATGATTAGTAAAAAGGAAATAATTTTAAAATTTATTATTAAAGTGAAAAAGAAAATAAAATAGTATTAGAAAGAACGATAATTAAGTTAGTAATTTTAATCTTCATTAACCTTTTAATGCATATAAAAGTAGAAGAAAAATTCTTACACTTTATTTAACTGTAATTATATCCAAAAATTTATTTTTAATGTCATTTAAATTTAATAAAATTAATGCTTAAAATAGAATTAACAGAGATTAACATACATGATAAATTCAATAGTAATAATATCAAAAATTACATTAAACTCAAATATATGCTTTCTTAACTAAAAAAAATATCAAAAATTTAAATAATTATGATTTATAAAGTTAATTAACAATAGTTATATTTTAAATTTTAATATAATTATCTCAATTATTATACATTATTTAATAATTTAAATGAACTAAATGTTTTCATAATTTTTTATTATTATTATTTCATTATTCTACTAAAATGTATTTATTGTCATTAATTGTATTTAATTTTGTGATAATGTAAGTTATCAAAATTATTAATCGTGAGTCATTTTGGTCTACAGTACAATTAGTATGCAATTATTGATTAGGTAAAATACTGTAAGAGTTAATTTAGTTAAAATCTGAAATTTAGTTTAATTACAGTTCTGAATTTAATTTCATTTTAGACATATAATTGATCCATACCACTTGTGAAATAATGTTAAAACATGATGTTCCATAGTTATAAATTTATAAAAAACAAAACTAAAGTATATAATTCAAAAAACACTATATTTTTCATTTGAAGAAACAGAATTTTTCAATAATATAAAACTTTTTTAAGCTCACCTTTAAAAGTGAGCCTGGAAAAGATATAAAAATGTGGCATAAAAACACTATTCATTATGAAAATTCAATAAAAGGAGATAATATAATTTTTAGAACTTTGAAACTTATAATGTTAAAAGTATTGTTCAACAAAGCAAATTAAAAAAAAAGCATAGAAATATTTAACAAATAGACTTAAATAATTTTAAATTCCATTATTTAAAAATTAATAAATTTAAATCTCAGTAAATAGGTAATTTACTTATTGGTAATTTTTACAATTTTATTTTATAAATATATAATATAATAAATAAAATATACTCAATTCAATATATTTTTTTAAATTTTAAATAATATTCTTTATCTTTCAAATACTTTATTTATATCAAAATCTAGTTTCTTTTCAACTTTGTTTGTCTGATAAATTATTTATTTTGGTGGATGAACTACGATCTGAGTAAATATTTTCTTTACCGGAGCTAAATAAAGAAAGTATTTCAGACAATATTTCAAGCATAGCAACTTAATTAAAAAAATTAAGGAATTTAACTGTACAATGATTTTTTTACTTCTAAATTAAAGAATAATTCACTTAGTTTAATTTGGGACTTTAATATTACAATATATATCATATTTGTTCAAAATTACTAAGTATTATTCTAAAAATTATATTATAGAATAATTTAATTTTAGAATAACACAAGTTTTGTTTTTTTGATACTTCACAAATCATACTTACTTAATCTAGAATCAAGATGATCAATTAGTTTACTGCTAGATGTATGCTTGTAACCACAAAGATGGAGTCGTAGCCTATTGATAGCTACAAAAACACCACTGTTACCACTACACTGAAAATAGCGCTGTCCCTTAATACTTCCATCACATACTCCCAGCTCTGGATGCTTCTAAAAATGAATAACTGAATAATTAACAACTGAACTCTGTGCATCAACAATTTACAAAACTAATTCATTATCTCTATGAAAGCATAGTTATTGAATTAATTAAATTTTAATATTGTAATCATAAAAATATTTTCTGTGCATTGTTATAATATAAAAGTTTCATAAAACATATAAAAATGTTTAAACATAATTTGTTTATTGTATTATTTATGAAAAATAATTTTATTATAATTGTTATCATCATCGAATTCATCAGAAAAATTATTTTCATAAAACTTGATAAATAGTAGGAAATTAATCTAATATTAATTATATTAAATCATTCTATTTTATATTTAATTTTAAAAATTCTGGATTATTAAACATCATCATTAAGTAGTCAATAAAAAAGAATCAAAATTAAAGTTTGATTACATTAGCAATTTTTATGAATAAATTATAAAACAAAATAAAAATGAAGAAAACTATTTAAAAATTTATAAAATGAATTTAGTAAACAGAAATAACTACAGATACTTAAATTAACAGAAATTAAATAGTAAACAGTTCAGTAATAAAAAAAAAGTTAGAAATTAATTAATTTTAAATGAAAATTTTTTTACTTAGTACACACAAAAAATATTTATAAATTATTCAAGTTAAGGTAATTGCATAATGATTATAAATTGAATAGTTTATTGTTTAATTAATATATTGATTTTTAATTTTTTATATGGTCTCGTTTATTCTAATAAAGATACACTTTAAGTGGTACACTGTGTTTAAACAGATTTTTTCTGCATGGTTATAACGTTCCAAAACTAAAAATATTTCATATTTAGGCTAACATTAATTACAAACTTTTTACTAAAAGTAAAACACTATTATTAAGAATGATTGTGATGACTAATTTAGCCAATTTGTCACTAAAATAACTGTAGACATTAAAAAAGTGCATCTAACAAATCTTGTTTCATGTTGACCTTAAAAAATTGAAATAGTTGTATTTACAATATAATTTGAGATTTCTCATTCAAGTGCATTTGGTTCATAAGATATTGCTGCTTTCATAAATTTGTAATGAGTTATAAATTGATCATTTTTCTAAATTGCAAATAATCAGTATCAACTTCTATAAATTAAATTATTATACAGCAAGACCCCACTTAACACTGCTTTGATTAACGCTGATTTGATATAACTCAGTCTGCTCAAAGCCTAAAAAAAGCTAAAAAATTTATGCCAATTCAAATTATCATGGCATTTCATTGATTCATATATAATATGATTATTTACGAACACGAATCAATCATCAGCAAAACGTGGCAATTCGTTGTAGTGCTGTACTTCCCTTAAATCTATGTTTGTTTTATGCAATTTTCAAAAAAATATATTAACATACATCATGAAAGCCTTAGGCCATATCAACTTTGCTTGGCAAGAATTAACTGATAAATGTATGAACAAAGTGTAGAAAAGTTACGGCTGAAGGTATCCAAGAATTCTCAACAAGAAGAGCCTATTGCTGTGTTGTTAGGTTGACCAAACTGTCAACCTAATTGATACAGCAGGACTAGATGAAGAGAAGCAGGATATTGAGGAGTTACTGCAGGTTTCTGGTGAGAGCCTTACTAATGATGACCTTCAAGAACAGACAGAACAAGGAATTCATGTAGAACTGGAAAATAGTGATTCTGAAAATGAAGAATTCAAAGAATTTCTTTAGTAAATGTTTGGTAACAATAACCAAAATCATTGATCAAATTAAATTTTGAAAGGTAGATTTTGAAAGGAGTGCAGAAGCAAGACGAGGCATTTTGGATGCAATCTCCTGCTACCAACATTTGCTTAAGGAAAGAGAGAAAGCAACAAATGAAACTACATAACTTTATAAAAAAAAACAAGAATTTTATAAGAGCCAGAACAGTCATCACAAAATATGAACTATAGATTTCTGTGTGCATAAGTTTGTGCATTATTTAACATATATTATTATGCAAATTAATATAAAAATAACAAAGTAAAATCTGTTTATTTTTGGTAGCATGTTCCCCTTTCCCTATTTACTCTATGTTAAAATGATCTTGTTTAGTGCTATTTTGTTTAGTGCTTTGTCGTCTAGAAACGCATCCTCCACATTAAGCAGGGTCTTACTGTTCTATATCATAAATGAAATTTATAGTATAGAACAGTAAGTGTTGGTGTTATTTAATTATTATAAAAATAAATACAGTGGAACCCCGGTTAACGAACGTCCTGGTTAACGACCAAATCGGTTAACGAACTTTTATTTTGCAAAAATTTTGTCTCGGTTAACGAACAAAATTCGGATAACGAACGTAACGGTATTTTGTGTCAAATTTTAGTTGGTGTTAGGCATGCGCGAGTTAAGCATTGCTTTTCCGAGTGTTTGTGCTATACTTCTTTTTTCAGTTTTGTGATTTATATATTTAATCAATATGGCATCCAAGAAAGAAAAAAGTCATAGTGGCAATAGAAAACGACAACGCAATATAAACGACAATGCGCTATCGCATTTGAGAAAAATTTTGATTAAAAGAGTAAGACAATCAACTTTAGATCAATTTCTTGTTCCTTACGGAAAGAGTTTGTTTGTTTGTTAAGTTATGGCAACGCAACACTTGGGCGATCTGCCTAGGGGAATGCCTTCTGGGAGGTGTTTTTAAGGGAAACTGGCCCCTATTTAGGCGTTACAGACGTGGAGAAAACCCGGAAAACTCCACGTGGCCAGCCCGTCTGAGCGAGGTGCGAACCCACGAACGAACTCCCCGTGTTCAAGGTACGAAGACCACTTAGCCACTGGTGGGTTTTTTTTCCGAAAGAGACTTCGACTCTAAGAATCTTCCAATGAAGTGCTACCCATTATTTTTTGGAGGGGATTCCCCTTCTAAGCATTAAGGTTCGTATATCTCCACTTTTCTGCCACCAACTACAACAAACGAAGGTATGTACAGTGCTATTTTATTAAACAAAGTTTACATGTTTGTTGCTGTAATGATAGATACTACGTTTTCCTACATTTTCATCAAAGAAAATTACTGTATATTACAAATAAAATCACAAAAATTTCGGAGACTAGAACGGATTAATTGCATTTGCATTAATTTCTATGGGAAAAATTGCTTCGGTTAACGAACAATTCAGTTAACGAACGGAGTCGCGGAACGGATTAAGTTCGTTAACCGGGGTTCCACTGTATATACTTTTACTTAATTTAACTTATTTGTTGATGATTATTTTTGGATTTTTGTTATAATATTGATTATTTGCCACAAAACAAAACATAACATTTATATGCTAGTAATTTTCTTTCAAAATAGCCACTCTTATAATTATTATAAAAAAATGTATCAATAAACAATATAAACTCATTAAATGTACATTTATCAAACCTATAAACAAAGAAGAGTACAACATTTTATATACTGTATACAGGGTATAGAGAGACAAACACTGCAACAGGCTATATCTTGCTTCTACTATATATTAACTGTGATTGAACGGGAGAATAGGTAATCGGTAGTAAGCTATTTGTCTGGACACTATGCACTCCAATGCAAAGTAGGCCTTGATCACCTAAAACCATGAAGAGAAACCTCACATGATTTCTTCACTCATTTTTTGATGGTATCTAGTTGCTTTCCCTTTGAATATTTTAACTGGGAAAAAAATGGTTTTGCTTGATTTTCATATACTATGACTTTCTAATTTAAACTATGCCATTATCTTTCATAGGACTCAAGGTATAATTTTCCTCCATGAGAAGAGGATTGGGATGTATGGCATCCAAACCAATAAAAGCCCACTACCAATTATCTATACTCCAATGCAACTGCATTTAGTTATTGCATAGTAGAATTAAGATATAGCCTGATGCAAATTCTTGTGTCTACACCATATATCTCATATTCATATAAGAGTTTCATTTTTACTAGATATAATAAAAACTTTTAAGTAAAATTTTTAAGATGAAAAATAAAGATATTAAACTAAATAACTGTTTATTTTGAATACTTGCATTTAAATTTTTTAAACCTAATTTATTGTTGTCTTTTCAGGATTACAAATGTAATCACCTTTTCCAGAATCAATCCAATTACATTTTTCCATCTCTTATAAAATTTTATTTTTAAGTTAATAATTCAACAAAAAGCCAATGACCAAGTCAATGATTATCCACAATATTTAAAATCAATCAAAGTTCAGCAATTTTGAAGATTTAAAAATAGATCTATATATTGTTAAATAAAAACAGAATAAAATTGCAATAAAAATTTATGATTATAGTTCAAAACAATAAATCAAGACAACAATCAACATATGTTAAATTCTAATCAGAATAAATTTTCAGGAGTTATTGAGTTAAAAATAGAAATTTTATTATATCAAAATTATAGTTTACTGGGTTAAATAAAAGAATCAACATTGTTCTCCATAGTCTCAGCTACTAAAACTGATAATGATAAAAGTATTTGTTTCAGCAAAATAAAAACATTTATAATGTAGTAAAAAATGAAAAAATTAAATATATATAAATAAAATTCTATTAAATTTTATGGAATTTAGCAATAAGTTAAAAGTTATTCCAAATTAAAGTGTCTTATAAAAAATGTAAAATATAACTCTATATTAATTGATTTTGGCATAAATGACTTTTATATAAAATTCTGTAAAATTAAAAGTATAGGTTTAAAGTAAAAACATAATTTAATAGTTTAATAAACCATTATAATTTTCTTTATGTTGTTTTTAAATCAATAAAGTCAAAAATTAAAATACAATTCAGATTATTTTTTAAATTATAAAATAAAAAACTATAATCATATTTATAAGTAAAATGAAATACAGTAAGCCATCAATTTAACAGATTAATTGAGGAAAAGCATGTCTATTATTGGCAAAAGTCCATTAAATCAAATTTTAAAAACATGTATTAATATTAGTAAACTACTATATAATACTACTGTATATTAATAATAAATTTAAAATTTGCAGGATGTGTTATGATGTTGTTATGATGTATAAGTATGAATTAAATAATAATATAATGTACTTTGAGTAATTTATACTCACTGACTCTATGTTCCAATCTTTTAGCATGCTCTGTTCGTGAATAAGAAAAGGTTTTAAATTTTTTCTATAGAATAGAAAATTTTTGTCCATTAAATCCAGTCTGATAAATCAAAGATTTACTGAGTTTAGAAAGAATATTTTATTTGCCTAAACATTTTATTGTGTTTTGTTATTATAATCTATGAAACATTAATACATTTCAATTAATTCTGTTTAAAATTCTGCTATATAATTATTAAGATTTGATTTAATTCCTGGTTTTAAATAAAAATGGTTTTACTAATTAAAACTGATCATTCTGCAATCTTTGCAGTTATTTTTTCATTCAGTTTTCATTGAGATTGCATATAGCATATTTTAGAAACATTAAGCCAATCAAAATAATTGTCTCTACATAACTTTTCCCACTGATTCAAAAATTTTGATAATTTAATCAATAAGACAATTGGCATTTGAAATTTTTGTATTTCAAAAAAATATTTTTTAATCTGCATGATTTAAACAATCATATAAAAAAAATATATCTAATTTAATTATTATATTGTTTCACTTTCATAATTTTAATCTGGAATATTCAAATTAAAAATGAAATAGTTTGAAATGTATTCTCCTCTCAATCATATGAAAGAATTATTATACTGTATTCAATAATTTTTAATAATAGATGAAAAATTTTAATTTTGTTATATTAAGAATATTTAATGTTTTTTTAATAATCATTTCTCAGCACATAGAAATGGAATTCATTCTAAAATGAATAGAAAAACATTTTTATTTGTTATAATTAAAAAAAAATTAATAAAATTGGCAAATGAAAATAATTCATAAGAAGAGAAAAACAATTCAACAGAGAACAACTATTATTTAAAAGAACTTAAATCAACAAAACTAAAAAAGTAATTATAAAGTAAATTATTTCCTAATCATGTTTTAGTTTTATTGATTTCAATTCTTTTAAATAAATTACTGATGCTTCAAAATACATAAAATTCAACAGAATATATTATTGTGTATCTAGTGTACTATATCCATTATTAATTTATTTTCGTTAAAAAGAAAATGATTAAGGACACATTAAAAATAGAAAATTTTGATCTAAACTTCATAGCATGATATATATTAGAGTTAGAGTTTATCTACATATTTATACAGTTGATAAAATGATATTTTTCAGAACAACAGAATTGCAAAAATGACAGCTATTAGAAAACAATGAACATTCTTATATCAGAATCTGAATCTATAACTATTGCACAAAATGTTAAGAAAAAGATATAAAGTGTTTAATTTTAATAATATTTACAATCATTATTTAAAGATTATTCATTTAAACTTAATAAATTAAACCATTTTAAATTGTTATGTATTTAGTCTTTTTGAAATAATCATGGGAGTCTTATTAAATAAAATGTACAAATACTTCTAAATATTACACTATTATTGCATCAACTAAATTTTTTAATATTATATTCCAAAATGATGAGTTTTGGAAAGAGATATTACATAATGAAAGCATCAGTAATATATGTATTACAAATTTTTATACATAAACTGAATAAAAAACACTTATATAATTAAGCAAAATAAATTTGATAAGGTCAAGTTATTAGATTGTAAGTTTACATAATATATGTAATATGTTATTTGTAAAAAAATATTGCAATATGCCAATTTGAAGGCAAATTAACATATTTTATGTATTAATTTGTATAAAATAGTATGTTAAAATGTGAAACTGAATTATAAAATATAATTTTCCTATTTAAATAAACTAATAACAGATAAAAATATATGTTTAAAATTTAAACACATTGAAATGCAATTCCAAACAAAACAAACAAAAGCTGGATAATAAATTCAAAGAAATATTCTAAAAATAACTGCAGAAGTTAACTATAGATGTTTTCTTGAATATTTCTAAAATAATTTTATATCAATTTGTAAACAATTTGCCATTAAATGTCCTCTGTTTTCAAAAAAATAATAATACAATGAAATTTAAAAAACAGTAAATTGTAATTTATTATAGTAAATTACAGCAAAATAAAAATAAAGTATTTTCATTTTGCTATAATTTTTTTCTGATTTCTTTATTTTTCATGATTTAACTCATAAAGTTAATACTATATATCTTAATATTAAAATAAATTCAATAATAATAATAATAATAATAAAATTTTAATATTACCAATAATTCAACTCCAAACATTATTCCTTTTCCTAATTCTGGAACTGGACCACAATAGCAAACAATACCTTCTACTGATTCCAGATTATCATTTAAATATACATCAACTTTACTTCCTTCTGTTATTAATGCAGCTTGTTCTAAAGTAGAATTATCAGCAAAAACTTTCAATCTTTCTCTAAATGGTATTATTGATAATAATAGATCTGCTTCAAAGGGAGTTAATTCTTCAATTTCAGATCCACAACACACTAAATATACACTATCATGATCTAGAGATCTTAAACACAAAGCTGATTTATTTTTAATTGCAATATCATTTCTAATTTCTTGTAATATACAACCTGTTGGCAACTGAACTTCAGTTTCAATAGGACTTGGTCTAGATGAATTTGTATGAAAATCATTACCAATTTTCTTCCCAAAACAATCAGCACGGAGAATAAATCTTCTTTTTCTCATTGGTTCTTGATTCATCATATTAACCACTTCATTGAGATAACTATTTTTAAAAAATCACAATAAATTAAAAAATAGGTAACTGATTTTTTTGGTAATTATATTAATTTAAAAATAAAAATAAGAAATTTTAAAAATTATTTTATTACTACAAAATATTAAATAATTTATTTTATCTTATGCTTTTTATTGATCCCTAATCAAACTTAATTATGCTTTAATAAAATTCTTTAATGTAATGAAAATATATGAAATAGTGTTAAACATTACATTATAATGATTTTTATCTCATCTCATACCATTTGGTTGGTTACTGAAGGTTACTGGAAACCATAAAGCAGGTTTTGTTGAATTGACTAAAACATATACTTTCAATAATTTCAAGTATTTACTAAAATAATCACATGGAGTCATTTGTTCACATTTTGTGATTTAACAAATAACAATTATTAACTATAAAAGTCTTTATCTATACTGGAGATAATATGCATCATTACATGAAAGTTCTTTCATGAAAAATTAGAGGCCAGATGAAATATCCTTATTCCTGAATATTTATGCATATTACTACATTATTCTTATTTTAAACTTGGAGACAATGTGATTAAACAGACTAGAGAAGCACCAATAGATTTGTCAATAGTGATGATTGATTCTAATTTTTGCAAAAATGTGAATTTCCAAAAATATAAAAATTTCACAATGTGCAAATTCAAATACATGGATGACTTGTTTATTTGTTAAAACACATTGTATATTTATGTAAACTTCATACTAAGAATAATGCTGATATAACTTTATATACAATCAAGTTAATGACACTGAGATCAATCATTCAGGCACTAACTATTTCAAAAATTGTCTTATTCAAAACATAGTAATAAACAAAGTAATGAGTAAAAATATATTTTTGCTAGCATTGTATTTTCTATATTACATTTATCATCATCAAGTATTTAAACATATTAATGAAAAGAATAATGAATTTCATTCTTGTCCCATTCTTATTCAATTAATTTTTCTAAACACACAGTGAAAATTATGTAATATCAAAAATAATAAAAAAATATATTTTTATCATTAATTCTAATTTGTTTTTTCTGTTTTTTTATACTTTGTAACAGCATAAGATACTTTTGCAATACAGTCGACCCCCCTATAATTACGGTCCCTATAATTACGATTCCTATAAAACTACGAAAAAATTGTGACCGGTATCCGTAAAAAACAGTAAAAATTCCCTATAATTACCTCAAACATCATCAGGCAGCCGAACTACTTTCCCGCCGTCCGTAGCGCCACGCTACGGAGAGATTTCTATCGTCTGGACAGTATTATATAAATTATATATAAATTAGGTACTGTATATATAATTATATATTAACTTATTGTAACTTTGTTATAATTAAATATATAATTTCCGCCGTCTAGCGTGGCGCCACGCTACGGAGATTTTTACGCTAACTATCGTCTGTAGAGTATGTAAATTAGGTACTGTAAGTCTAATACAGTACTGTAATTTTATACATTTCTTGTGAAAGAAACATTTCTTATTCAACGGCGATTAAAATTATTTATATTAATGATGTCTCCGAAGTTCAAGGAACTATTCGCAGAAAAATAAGTTATTAGAAATCGGCCGCGGTTTGCTGAGCTGTTCCACGACGAAAACAATGTTGAGCAATGGCGATGTCGAATGGTGACACTCGGTAAGTAATCCTACAATTTTTTATTTCCAAAAAAAATATACGTATTTTGGAAATGTTGAGTCGGATTAGTCTAGAATCGATTAATTTTATGGAAGAAAACCTTTCAATCAGCCATAGTCCGTAAACTTGACACGTGTCAGGCTGTGATTGGAACGACTCTTAAGAAATCGGATTCCTAAAGAATGGAACGTATCTATATCTTATAGGGGGGTCGACTGTACTCAATACTAAAACTGTATTATGTGTCATTATTCTGATTAGGTATTTTGATTATAATAGAACATAAATCTATAATCTATATTTCAACATACATCCATGTGAAAAGTAAAATACTGTTATTATATAAGATTTCATTATTCAAAAGTCTATCAGAGTGTTTTCCCATTCTTAACATTAAAGGATAAAAGAAAAGAAATAAAATATACGTAAAAAAGATTGCAACTCAATTTAGCTTCAACTCTAAAATGATAGATAATATTGCTGAAAAGATTACCATCAAGACAAAGTAAAAGATGAAATGACAAAGATGTTGAAATGAAAATGTTCAATTTCATTGATTTATCAAAATGCCAGACAAAAATTCTTTAATGTTGCAAATCTAAGGATTCTGAATTATTAAATAAAATTATTCCTACTAATTTTAGTAAAATAAGAAATCCTTCAATCTATCTTCTGATTAAGAATAAGAAAGTATATATACCAGATCTCATAAAATTGGGGGTCTAGGCTTAAATACTTTCAATAATTCCAAAGTTTCAATATCCAATAGCAACAACAGGAGGCTTACATGGCATATTCAAAGTTATATCATGTGTAAATATATTCTATGCTAGTCTTAGACTGTAACATATCTGATGTTTGAATATGTAATGTAAAGCTCCCATTGCTACTAGATACCAAAACTTTGGTATTATTGAAAGTAGTTAAGACCCCATGTAGTACTCAGAATTTTATTATTTTATAAATCTCAAATCTAATTAATTATATATGGTGAAATAGAATGAAACATGTCTATTGATATCAGCCTTTAAGACTATTCTAAATAAAAAATCAAACAATTATTAATTACACTCTCTAGTTTAGTGATTAATAAGAAGTGTAAAGAAAACACATTACATCTTTTGATCTGGATGCAAAATAAAATAATCTTTAAATCTAGATATTTTCATTATTCATTAGCTTTAAACTTAAATTAATATCTATTAGATTTAATGTAAACAAAGTTCTTAATTATAATTTTGTACATTTAGATGTCTTTCATTTTTTTTTATTATAATATTATTTTATGTTTATATAATTTTACACTAAAGAAATATAATTGTAATAAACTTGAATGTATATTATTGTGCTATCATCGCAATGCTGGGCTGAAATTTGTATCAAATGGCAAAAAGCTTAATTTTAAGAGTAGTGATCAGTTTCATAAAAAAATGGTAAGTGTTAATAACATATATCATTAAGTCTGATTCAAGATATGACACATGACCCTCTTTATCTCCCCACTCCTTCAATCTTTCACCACCAATATTTAATAGCATCAATTCCCCTTATATAGAAGCTGCTGAGCCGAATTTCATTCCTTAATCTTCATTCCATTCTGAGATATTAAATGATATAGACTCTCACACACATCCATGGAATGTCTTTGACTTTTTTTTCTACTTTTTTGGGTTCAGTGGGTCTCAAAATGTAGAGATTCGCAAAAAACTGAAAAGGTAAAATTTGCCATTATTAACAATACTTCCCTTGTTATGTATACATAACATCAGGTAAAGCAAAATCATGTGACTTCCACATGATTATGGAAGTCACATGATTATTGTATATTGTTAACTTAATCAGGAAGGATCTTTGGCCCCTAAGCTTTCTATAACTGATATTGATTTTCATCAATCTAATCCATTCTCAAGATAAACATAGAACAGACAGGACAGACCAATTTGAAAATTGCAGCCCAATAAATATATAATGATATGAAATTTTAAATTTAAAGTTATAGTTTCTATAGTTATACTGTATGTTCTAAAATTTTTAAATTCAAAGATTATAAAATCTGAAGATAGGCAATCTCAAAATATTAAACTCATCAATTCAAGAGTTGATGTCTAGAGAACCTAATTTTCAGAAATTGCAAAAAGAAAAAAAAAACTGAATTGTATGAGCACACTGAAAGATATAGCTTTCATAAATGGACTAAATAAGTTATACAAGTTTTTTTTCATTTACAGGCAGTGGCAACTGTATTTTGGCATAGTTTCCAAAATAATGGGTAACAAAAACTTTGGACTTCAGTCCATTCTGAACTGAAATGAGAGATGGATTATTTCTTGCAAATTAATGTTATTTTTATTAAATCTCCTTTGTATTTCTATTTCATTGAAATACAGGAAACTTTCTAACATTTTTCTGTTTTATGATCAAATTTAATGCGCAATAGATGCAAGGAAAGCTAGAGATTGCATCCTGTTTTCTTAGTCTCCATCTCATATTGATCGGAAATTTCATCATTCAATACATTACCCAGGGACTCTTGGACACTTTCATATAAATACTTACAAGTTTTCTCATATTGTGAACTTTAGCAGCTATGTTTTAACAGGTACTAGATCATTATATAATTTAAGAGCAGCTAAATTTGATATTACATTATTACACAATATGCAAAAGCTGGTTTCCATTAACTACCTATGAATTTGCTGGCTTAAATCTCATGTTTGTGGTGTTCATGTTATTGTAACATTTTGTACTTCAAAACCTGAAAATTTTAGGAAATGCCATCATCAAATAATATGAAATAAAAATACTGTAGTTCAGCTCTCTGTTATAAAGTTTTAGTAACTAGATATTGCTTGGAAAATTCTATTAAACTACATAATGATTAATTTTTCTGGAATTAGTTTACATGATTCTGTTACCAACAAATGATGGATGACTGGCCTTTAAGACCCAATTTCAGTCATAAACATCAATGAAATGTAGATTTCAGCACAACACAAGATTTAATTCATAAATTTGGTGTAACTTCTTGAGGATTAAGTTGGACTTTTGTTTTGATAGAAAAAATATCCATTCCAAAAGTTAACATGTATAATATTTGTTTTTATTAAATATTGAAGAAATATTAAATTATACCATTTTATTAAAATATGGATATAATTTTTATTACAATAAACTGCTACTAAATGCAGATATATCGCCATCTGTTGGCAATATTAATGATTAAAAACTTTTACTTTAATATTGGTTTAATAACAATTTGTTATGTTTATTTTTATTTTTGAAAAATTCTATGAGACTAACATAGATGGTACTGTACAAAGCACATATAACTATC